ATGAATGCGGAATTTTGTTTTTAAAAAGTTGGGTAAGAAACACAGAGAGAATCATGAATTTCTTGATGAGAGTTGGTGAGAGTTGATAGATTGATGATTAAAAACACAGGTCTAAGGAGGCTATTTATAATGAAAACAGTCCGGATTAGATAAAAAAAGAATCGGAGTTCGAAAAGGAATAAAACATGACGCTGTCGCCGCAATATCCTGACAAGCCTGTCGTTTAGCGCTGCAAGACGGTTTTTGCGGATTTTGTTTTTATAATATCTTTTGATCAAGAAGTCAAAATAAGGCATATAATATGTCGTTGAAAATCTCATGAAGTCTACTTTTTAACCAAAGTAAAATTAGATTAAATCTTTTGTAGATAAAAAGATATGGCGAAATAGTGGAAGGGTGTCAGTTTTGGATAGAGTTTCATCTTCCATTCATATCTTTTTCGTTATAGCTTGGATTTAATATTATAATATATCATTGGAAAGATAATTTCAACAGCCAACCATATAAGATTTGGATAAATATTATGAGGCACGAAAATAATATTGTAATATATTCGAACTCTTACAAAACAAGGATTCTTAAAAGGAGTAGTTTTACTCTTTGAAGCATAATTATCAATCCTAACTCCATTATGATTCTAAAGAACCTTCTAGAGTATTCTAGAAGACTATAATCAATCCTAACAGCTTTAGGAATTATAATTAATAATAGGCCCTCCTCTTGATCATTGGGCCGTATGTAAGAACCAAATCGGGCCCAGTTTAGTATTTAGGGTTAATCTATTGATTGTATGTTATTCAGAAAGCGCACATGAATGTGAGAAGAATAAAGTAGAAGCCTATTTATAGGGTAGGTTTAATCTCTTTTTGGTTGGATTTGTACCTTCATCCCCGAATATCCAGTCATGGTTCCAGACCAGTATGGAGTTAGCGATCTAATAGATCGTAAAGGGGTGTAACTTTCACCTTGTGAACGGCTTACAAGTTCCTAAAACTTGTTGGCGACTCTTTTTCTCTAGCTTCCTTCCCATTAGACAGCACCAAGCTTAAGTGTATGATCACAGTGGGGCTCAAGTATGGGATACTTGAAATATTCCCAACAACCACCAAATTTCAAATTGTAGCCTACCCTCACCCTTCTCGCCTTTACATTACAAGCCTTTCCAAAACCTTTTGACCTTTGTGGTTGAGTTACTAATCGGTGGAGGGAGATGTAGGGCAAGCTTATAGAGCGGTATGTAATCGTCGAGATGTCTAGAAACCTTAAACTTTATTCTTTTTCGTTTCCTTCGAGGAACCATAGAGACGCTTACTAAGGGAAGATTTGAATCCATTAGGAGAACGCGGTTAGATTGGTTGGAATGAAAGTGGATTGCGCCTCATTAGTTCTCTACGCTTATCATACCTTAAGCTTCAATCAACCTTCGATATCTTTGATCGTGCATAACCCTATCATATAGAAAAGTGCTTATTCACTAGCATTTGATTGTTTGCAAAAGTATTTGTCCAGAGCTATTTGTTTGAATATTTGATTTTCCTTCTTTTATTTTAATGATTTAGCCTCATTTTACTTTAAAGAGTTATGGCTAAACCTCTTAGGAAACCCTTACGAGACCATCACTCGTCCTTTAGAGCAATCTAGGGGTTTAAAGGGCTAGTTGTAGCAAAAAACAACCGTGGTTCCTACAACAATGAGTCTTAGTGCATATTCTCTTGTTTTGTCTTTCTTTTTCATTTTTGAATAAGTCTATCATCCTTATTCTTTTTTTTTTGGAAAATAAGATTTTATTACCAAAGAGAGAAAGTTACAACTTACAAAAGCTAAGTTATAACTACCACCAGAACACCACAAGACCTGAAAAAACAGGCCAACCCCAAAACCAGTTCTAGATCCAAACCTAGCCACCTTCTAGGAAGGGTTCTAGGAAGGGCCTAGAACAGTTGGACTCAGATTTCCAGCCACCTTCTAGGAAGGGTTCTGGAAACCAAGACCAGACAACAACACAAGCAATAAACAACAAAGCCATACACTCAAAAATCACCAAAAACAACAATCAGAAGTAGACATGCCTGCAAACTGACCAGTAAAACCAACAATAACAAAAACAAGCAGCAGCAAAGCACTAGGGTGAGGCAAACAGCAACCAGCAGCAAACCAAACCCCCGTCTGCTAAACAGCAGCACAAAACAGCAACCTTGCACCATCAGAACAACAGTGCAGCAAACCCCAACACCAAGCAGTAGATAGCAGTGCAGACATACAGCCAGCATGCAGACCAGCAGGGCAGAAAGGCAGCAGTGCAGATAGCAACAAGCAGCAAACAGCAGAGCATAAAGCAGGCAGACAGTCAACAGACAGACAGTCAGCAAAAAGCAGGCAGCTAGTCAGCAGACAGCAGTGCATAACAGTCAGCATACAGCAATGCAGCAAGCAGCAGACAATAGTGCAGCCAGCAATGACAGCAGTGCACAGCAGCACAGACCAGTGCACAGCAATACAGACAGCAGTGCACAGCAAGCAGACAGCAGTATGCAGCAAACAGCAGAGAAGATAGCAGGCAAGCAGAAACAGCAAAGACAGCAGAAGCAACTGGGATACATAACAGCAAGAAAACAAGACAGAGAAAACAAAAAACCTCAAAAAAATAAACCAGAACGCAAACACTAGAAGCCAGAAACAAGCTCCTAAACGATCAAATATTTTCTTCCCGCCGGGATTCTACAAACTGAATGAAAGACAATATCCCTAACTAGCGCATCAACAGATTTGCAACAACCAGTAAAGAGAACTGCATTCCTTTGTATCGAAATACCATAAACTGTTTTAGTGAAGGCCACCTGGATCACTTTGTTTTTCAACCTGGAACTTTTGCAGATTTTCTTCATCCAATCAACCTCATCACTAAACTACTGAACAGGCTTGGAAACTCGTAAGATACCCAACACCTTGCTCCAAACCTTCCTAGAGAATTCACAATCAAAAAATAAATGCTGAACACTTTCATTGCTATTCAGACACAAGAAACACTTTGGATCACAAGAAATGTGTCATTGAAGCAACCTATCCTTAGTGACAAGCCTATTCCACAAAGCTAGCCACAAGATAAACACACTCTTAGGAGTTGCTAAGTTTTGGCAAATAACTCTCTTCCAAGGAACTTTAGGCACTTGAGGCCTAATAGCATCATAAAGCTTCTTGATTTTCAACTTGTTGCCTTGTATGAAACCATCCCATCCCCCTTGATCATTCACAACATCTTTACAACTCAAAATCTTCTTCAAGAACCAAGAGCATCTAGCAGGGGTAGGGGTGGTCCAACAATCTTTATGCTTGAAGTAGTAGATATGGACCCACTTAACCCAAAGATTATCAGCCTTGTGAGCAATATCCCAAAGTAACTTAGTGACAGCTGCTTTATTCCACTCAGGAAGAGAAAGCAAGTTCCAGCCACCACAGACTTTAGGAAGACAGACATTATTCCAAGCAACCAAAGATTTCTTAGCAGGGGAAAAGGATCTAGTCCAAAGAAAACACCTGAACCTAGCCTCAATCTCTTTCAGAATTTTCTTCGGTAGAATCAAAATTTGAGCCCAATAAGTCTGAATACCAAACAACACACTCTTCACCAATTGAAGCCTCCCAACATATGACAAGTGTTTAGCCATCCACCCTTGGATTCTAGCAGTGACCTTCTCCACCAAAGGCCTACATTGAGCAATAGTAAGCTTCTTGGAAGAGAGAGGGACCCCAAGATACCTAAAAGGAATGGTACCTTGAGAAACACCAAGAAGCTCCCTCAACTCTTTCTGGATATCAGCAGAGACCCCTCCAAAATAGACCTCACTTTTATCAAGATTAGCAGAAAACCCAGAAGCACCCAAAAATTTCGAGAAGGCTTGGAAGAGAAGCTTAACAGAAACACTATCAGCTCTAGAAAACATCGGTAAATCATCAGCAAACATCATGTGAGTTAGGTTTAAATTTTCACATCTAGGGTGAAAGTTAAAATCAGGAGTTAACCTAAGCTCATCAAGGCATCTGGATAGGTATTCCATACCAATAGCAAAGAGAAAGGGAGACATAGGGTCACCTTGTCTTAACCCTTTCTTAGTTTCAAAGGGAGGGGCAGGAAAACCATTAATAAGAATAGAGTAAGAGACAGAAGTAAGACAAGTCCAGATCCAACCAACAAATCTCTAAAGGAAACCAAGCTCCTGCATGACAGTGATCAAGAATCCCCACTCAACTGAATCATAAGCTTTCTTCAAATCCACCTTAACCATACACCTAGGAGAGATAAAGTTGTGATCATAGCCTTTGATCAGTTCAGTTGCAAGAAGGATATTGTCACCAATGTGCTTGCCTAGAATGAACCCTGCCTGAGCATCATCAATCACCTCACCAATGACAGCAGCAAGCCTAGCAGTTATGACCTTAGAAATGAGCTTATAGACCACAGTATAACAGGCTATAGGTCTAAAATCCTTAACATGAGAAGCAGAAAGGATTTTAGGAACCAGAGTGATAGTTGTACAATTCCACTGCTTAGGCAAAGTCCCTTTAGTGAAAGAATCAATAACACTAGCATAAATATCATCTTTCACAATATGCCAAGCTCTCTTAAAGAAAAAGGAGTTAAAGCCATCAATACCAGGAGCTTTAGTGTTATCAATTCCCTTAAGGGCAACATCAATTTCAGCATGAGAAATAGGCCTAATGAGGTAGCTCTGAGCAGCAAAGCTGAGCTGCTTACCCCTCCTCATAGTGACAAGATCAACAGCAGGGAGCCAAGGAGCCTGAGTCCCTAGAAAAGACTTATAGAAAGAGATAATTTCATGAGAAATAGCATTTGGATCCTTAAGCAACACCTGATTAGAATCAAAGATGGAGTCAATTCTATTCCTTGCCTGTCTAGTCTTCATCACAGAGAAGAAATAGTGAGAATTTCCATCTCCAAGCTTAACCCAATTGATTCTAGATTTTTTCTTGAAGATGCTTTCCTAGATATCATTCCAATGTTTGACAACCTTAATAGCATCAGATTCTTTAGTATATAAATCCAAATCATCAGGATTCTGTGCCATTAAGGTTTGAATTCTAGAAAGCTCAACATTAGCCTGATCAATCTTTTCCTCAATGTTACCAAACTGCTTGCTATTAAGGGACTTAATATAAGACTTCACAGAATTAAGCTTATGCCAAACAGAATTACCAGAACCCCAAGCCTGCGAAACAGTATCAAGGAAATTAGGGTGATTAGCAATACAGTTTAGAAATCTGAAAGGTCTACCTTTCCCCGCAGGGGCAGAACAAATATCCAAAAGAACAGGACTATGATCAGATAAGGAAGGAGGGAGATAGACAGTCTCCACATGCCCATGAGAGGCTAACCAAGCTTGGTTACTAAAAACTCTGTCAATTCTAGAGAGAGTTCTAGGGCCAGTATGAGCCTTATTAGACCAAGAGTAGAAGGCCCCTTTGCTTTTAATCTCAGTGAGGTCCAAATCATCAACCAGGCTTTGAAAGTCTCTAGTCTCATAATCAGTAACATCAGTACCATAAAGCCTATCCGAGGTATGAAGAACAGAGTTATAGTCACCAACACAAAGCCAAGGAGAATGCTGAATAGAGATGCTTCTAAGACCCTCCCATAAAGGAAGCCTATCATGAATGGAGTGAAGCCCATAAACAACAGTGAGATGAATCTGAGTAGAGAGGTCCTTAGAAGAAACACTACAATGAATGAACTGTTCATGAACCTTCAAGACATTAACAATTACTCTATCCGCATTCCAACCAAGCCAAATCCTTCCTTTGGGAGAATAGTCATAATTACACAACCAGAGCCAAGAAGAGCCAAACTTCCTCTGATAAGTGAGGACATTTTTCAATTTGATTTTTGTTTCAAGCAAACCAACAACATCAAATGAATGAGAATGAAGCAACCTCTTTACAGAGGCAACTTTGCAAGGGTCATTCAGGCCCCTGACATTCCAAACAGAGTAAATCATGACACTAGAGGGGGATTAACCTCACCCCCACTTGGATTTATAGTGAAACCACCTGCACCATCCATTTCATTTGCAAATAAAGCAACAAAAGCATTAGAGGTAGAAGCAGGCTGATGAACTCTAGAATGCTGGCTTTTTGTCTTCCTTCCTACTATTCTCCACCCCTCATCTGAACTCTGAGAAGTATGAACCTGTGGAGTAATAATAGATTGTCCATGAACAGAAACACCAACATCAACAGCAGTAGTAGAAGCAGGGGTATGGTTAGGCTTAGGAACCCAAACCTGCTTTTGCTTAGGAGGAACAAGAGCCGGTTGCTTAGGAGCCTGCCTAGGCATAGGAGGCATAACATAGCAATCATAACCAACCTTGTTTCACTTAGAACAAAAAGGAGGGGCCCACTCATACACTACCTTGAGCTCCAACGGTTCCTTCGAAGGACTTTCAACCCATACAGAATTAGGCATAGGCTTTGTAACATCAATTTCAATCAGAACCCTAGCAAAAGACACTCTAAGTTGTCTAGTAGTACATTCATCAGCACAAATTGGCACTCCAAGCAAGCTACCAAGGCGGCTAAGAGTGTCAGATGCCTAGCAATTAAGTGGGAGATTAGGGAACTTAACCCAAAGAGGAACAATTCTAAGAATTTCAGCATTAAAATAAAAATTAGGACACAAAGGCTTCACTATTACAGGCTTTCCAAGGAACATATGAGGACCAGAACAAAGTATAGTATCTTTATCATCACTAGAACATAGATTAACAATAAAGTACCCATCATCATGCCAATAAACATCTGGTTTTTGCATATCATTCCATTGTTGAGCAAAAAAACGAAGAACAGCAGCAATAGTAGGGTAAAATCCAACTACATAGAAGACTAAAGCATTAGCCCATTTTTGATTACCTGCCTCAATTTCAGCTGCCTGTAGCTCAGCAATGAGTTTCCTTCCTGCACTTTTGGAGCAACAAAGGATAATGCAGCCCCCTTTGCAGCCAACTTTCCAGTAAAAGGTGCAGCTCGACCTTCACTCACATTCTGCTCCAGAGCAGGGGAAGAGGCAGCTCGATCCTCATTACAGTTGCGCGAGTTCAGTTCCAGATTAAAGGAAGAAGTAACTCGATCCTCACTATTCTTGTGCACATTCTACTCCAGAGAGGGTGAGGAATGGCGAAGAGAACTCCCTGGCTCAGCACGATGCCCAGATCCACCATCGTCCAATGGAACAGTAAACCCAGAAACCCTAGGTACTGTTCCATTGGATTGACTCGACCTAGCAGTAGCTTCAGCAAAGAGGGAAATGGTCTCAGCATCACTCTTGGGAATAGCTCCACAATCTGGGTGCACTAACGCCGGTGCCAGAGTAACCAATTCATCCACCTCTTGAATCGGACTAGGAATGAAAGAAGTTCCTGAGTTTCTCAAATTCTGCAAAACCGAATCAAAGGCTTCATTAGTAGTCTGTTGTCGCGCTACTTGAGGTGTAGAAACAGTCTTCTTCTTCTTAGCCATTGATATCCGGATTTGATGAAGAAAACCAGTCAAAAATGAAGAACCATGGAGAAGAGAGAGAAGAGAGAAAGTCAACGAAAGTCCCGTTTTCACGCTTGATTCAAAAAGCTTTGTTATCATCCTTATTCTTGCTTGCTTAGTATTGCTCGACGACGAGCAAAAGTTTATCTTGAGAGAATTTGATGAATGTCATTTATGGCACTCATTTGTTCTCTTTTAGGGTGATTTTAGATTGCTTTTATAGCTCTTTTCTTTCCCTTTTCCTTATTTTTGCTCTTTATTTCTTTATTTTGCATTTTCCTTAGTTGATTTTCCTTTTTCATGCATTTCTTGGTTTTTCTTATCTTTTTCCCTCTTATTTGTTTGTTTTCTCTCATTTTTAAGGTTAATATCATTGTCCAAAAATACTTGAGGTTTCTTCCCGAGTTTTACATCGATTAAATGCGTAGTATTATCCATTTGAAGCTCAAGTATGGAGATGTGAAAGTTCCTAGTGACCATAGGCCGTGCATTCAAGACATGGAGGCACCAATTCTCGTGTTGAACCCACCATCAGGGTCTTTTAGGGTCTTCCATGCTCCGTATTCATCAAGAACATCAAGTGGAGCGCACAAGGAGCATCAAGAATGAAGGGCAAGAAGCTACCATGTTCCCAGGCGTGGGCGCACGTGACCATAGTAGGACGTGCGGATTAGAGGCGCGGCCACGTGGCTTAGAGGAGCAGGCGCGCGGTGCCCAGGTGCGGGCGCGCCTGCTGCACTCCCTGTTCCGTACCCTTTTTCTCGCGGCTGCACATCTTCAAAGTAAAGGTCGCGCTTGTACGGGTTCTTTTGGGACAACTAACTACTTTCTCCTTTGTTAGTTTTACTATTTATAGTTTTACCCTTATTTTTAGAGTGGGAAGGAATTAGAAAGCTTAGAATTAGAATTAGGTTTGATTTTCTTAGAGAGGGAAACTCTAGATTTTAGATTTTGTAGAGAGAGAAACATTGAAGATTGATGGTTGATAATTATTGATAGTTGTAATTGGTTTGAATTCAAGTACATTTCCTTTGATTTGATCAAGTTTGTAAGAATCTTCTTTACTTTAATTCAATCTTTAGCTTTTGATTTCAATTGTTTTGTTGATTGTTCAAGTATTGTTTGATTGGATTAGTTTAATGGGAATGATGTTGATGAATTTGATGAATTGCATAGCTCTGTTTTTTATTTCTTTAATGGATTGTGAGTAGTTTTCTTGCTAGGGATGTGGTGAAGCATGTATTAGTGATGGATTGTTAGCTAATTAGGAGGTTTTTAATTGATTTAGCATTGTGATTAAATTGGTTTATTGATTTTGTGCATGTGTATGGATTGGAAGGAGTGATCAACCTTGTTCTTCATGCTAGATTGCATTGTGTGTTTACATTGATACAAACCATTGATTTGTGATGCTCACATTTATTGATTGAGTTTGGTTTGTGATGCTTCTAGTAGAGTCTTTCGTAGTTGGCGTTAGTTTGACCTCTTGGAGATAGCTTGTCGAGCTCTTTTGATTACATTATCTATCTTCCCTTGCAATACTAGAATTAATAAATCTCGAACCCAATTAGTGTGTATTCATTTCAAGTATATGTGGACCCTAATTCACTAGTGTTAGATATATCGATTTACTTTGTGATTTACCTAGTTTGCTTAGTTGAATTAGATAATCTACTCTACCTTTACGATTCGAGATAGCTTGACTTTAGCATTAGCTAACTCTCGCCCATTCCTTTGGGTTCAATCATTGACTAGCCTCTATACTTGTATTTAGGTTTGTTAAGTGTATACAAATTTAGTTTGACCGAGGGAGGATTAGTCAATGACCTAATTTCACCCCTCGTCATTGAGCAATTTTTTTTGTTTAGCATTTCATTTTTATAGATTTTATTTATATTTGTTTTTTTGTTACCCCTCAAATACGACTCAAAATTACGAAGGGACTACTTTGTAATTGGGAACCTAAACCAAACCAAAAGAAAGAAAAAGCTATCCTAAACACGTCACACATAGTCATGTAATCACATAAGCATACAATAAGCCAAGGTTGACACAATGCATTTCTAAGGTTGTAAGCTTGGGTGTCCAAAGGTACCATATTTTAAGGAACGATGCACAAATCAATCACTCAACGTGTTGACTCATAAAATACCCTCCCAATATTTTGTTGGCAATATGGGCGGAATGATTGTTATTGATTTCGAGATAAAAGCCTAGTGTTGGCAACCCCTAGTCAATGAGCCAATACCTAAAGGTTATAGTGTGCTTCGATTATGCAGGATGCAATGTTTCTTGTTTGGTTTTTACTTTTGTGAAAAGGGAAGATATTATGCGTTCAAGGCTCGCTCTCTAACTAGAGATTATTCAACTTAACTCTCGTTACAGCCCACAATTAACCTAGTGTTGGAAACCTTGGACCATAAATAAAAATTAATCTTGTAACCTCTAAGTCCCCAGCGGAGTCGCCACTGTAAGGAGGGTGTTCTCATCGTAGGAGATCTTTCTCCTTAAATTCCCATGGCCCCTTTAAAAACCTAGGACTTTACACTTGTTAGGGTGTATTAGGATTTGATTTCCTAACTGTTTGGGGGACCTTGAATTAGAATGGATCCTATCATCATGCTTTTTTGTAAGAAACAAGTAGGAGTCGCTAATGAGTTTTAGGAAAACTCATAAACCTCGTTCATGCCTTCCTCCCAAGTAGAGTTCAAGGGATATTTAGCACGAATTGTAAGTTTACCCATGCCCAAATTGGTTTACATAAACAAAAAACGAGTTCGGGAGCGAGGATACTAAAATAACGTTCCCTTTTAGGGGGGATCAGTATCTTAGCCCTAGTACAACCTCTACTAGCTCTTCCATTTTCACAATTTCATCACCAAACAATATAACGTGATACCTAAAACTAAGTTAGTTAATTTTATTTACACACGCGAATCACGTAGGAATTACATTGCAAAAGTCGTTATTCTTATTTAATCAATATTCGTGAAAAGAACAAAAATAAACAAGATTCGCATTGGCTTAAGTGATTAATCAACAATTAATTATTCAATTCTATTCTTTATTTAACACAAGAAACTATGTGAAATTAATTAATTAAAGTTTCGTTTAAAGTGATCAAACAACACTAATTAATTACTTAATGTTATTTTAGACAAGAAAAATAAGGTGATTGATCTAAGTGCTCGGGAATTTACCACTTCTCTTTGCTAGATCTTTGTTTAGAACACTTTATACTCCTTGTTTAGGAACCTCCACCGTAGTAACAAGTACTAAAGGGGGTGGGTGTTTAGGACAAGAGGGTTTGGAATTTCACGAAGTTTCTACCAGAGTTTTAGGTTAAAATTTGTATGTTTGAGCCTTGTATTAAGCCCCTATTTAGAGGGAATAGGTGAAAGGAATGGTTTCCTTTGAACAAGTGTATTATTCTGATAGTGGGTTCAAAATTATTAGAAAGATA